AATGGATATTGACTAAAACCCCGCCAATACTAGAATTAAAAGCCGAACAAAATTAGAAACCGTTTTTCGAGGGAGTGCCACGCCCGCGCGCATGCCGCACGCGTTCCTTAAATATGGGCACGTGCATCTAATAACCATATCCGGTTCCTAAGTGACAGCTAAACTCGCCATTTGCACTGCTTCCGGTTCTCTTCACCCAGGAGTATAAATGGGTACCTGGGAATGTAGAGACCAAATTGCGCTGATCTCGATCTGCTGCAGAAAAGTGGAAAGCGCTTTGAATAAGGTTGAAACCATAGGTATAAAGTGCTGTATCAGCACCGTATTTCATTTTCTATAATTATAATAAACATGACGGGAAGTACCACTAAATGCCAGTCTGCACATTAGGCTTCCGTTATAATCCATGGCCAGGCAGGATATTAGATTCTCCAGTTCTGTTACGCGTTTTTAAAATGATTTTGGAAAAGGTAATAGAATTATCGAGGTTTCATGTTGCCGAGGGGTAACTCCATGACAATCACCCTGTTGTGACCGAGTAGACACTTAGACACGGTTCGCGGACAGTCACCTCTAATGAATTCTCCTGACTGCCGTCTTAGCATCTCTCGAGGAGCTCCGGACCGGAGGCGATAAGAAATTTCCTTAGGCCGGCAGCTGTAAGGTCGCTGGTCAAGTGCCGGAGACTTGCGACTGTTCTTGGTATTAAGACGAATGTCACGAGCTCGAGCCTCTTCGGAGTCATCTACGGATTAGGGTTAAAGGTATAATAGCGAGGCATGTTGTGGTGATCGTAGAGTCCCTCTAGCGTCGAGAGATGAACTGTGTTTTCGACTGTGAGGCAAGTTGGGTGACCGTACATTAATACTTAAATGCAAAGGCTAATTCAATTATTGAAGCAATGACGTAATTGTGCTAGGGATGGAACGTGTCCAACCGCGAACTGCAGGTCTGTACGTGCCCCTCCCACTGTGCCCCTCTCCCTATATGAGACAATCTAAGCTCACTTGTGGGCACGTGTGGTCTAGCGGTGGAGCACAGGATTCATGAACGTGAGGTTGTGGGTTCCAGCCCCATCGTGGACATGCGTGTAGTGCCCTTGAGTAAGGCGCTTTACCTCAATTACCCCTCTCAACCCAGGTGTTAAATGGGTACCGGCATTATTCAATGCTGGGAAGGTAACAGACTCGCTGTGGAGGAGGTGTGGCGATCCCTCCACAGCAGCATATGAGTCTGGCCCAATCGCTAATGAAAGAGAGATGGGCACTCCGTTCCTGTTAACACAGGTTCGCCCCCTTTTTTTACTCCCTATATGGACTGCCTTGGCTTGGTTGTCTGGAGCACTGAACTCGTGGACTGCGGATTATTCTGCAGGTTGTGGGCTCAAACCCAGCCTTCGGTTATGGTGCGTGTGTCCTTTTGGGCAAGACTCTTTGTCGTCCATTGCTTCTCCCAAACCACGGAGTAAATGAGTACCTGTTGGGGCAGAGGTGGTTACTGTGATCGCTTGAAGCAGCTTTGCGCCGAAATGGCAGCATCGAGCTGTATACTCCCCAGGGAGCTGAGATAGTCTTTGGGATGTTTCATTTTTCAAATGACCGGGTCGTTATAATCGCATTGAACACCAATAATGGTGGATACGTGTACTTTATAAATACACCTGTTTATTGTTTAGCTTTTCATTGCTTGAGGCTCGATGGGTACCCCCAGAAAATTAGGCACCCTAGGTGCCCCGCCCATGGAAAATTGACCCTATTTACAACACTGACTGTGAGCCAGTCGTGTAGTCGAGTAAATATTCATGAGTATGGGTACGAGTACGAGTACCTTACCACGATTACGAGTATGAATACGAGTACTTTTTCATGAGTACGAGTTTTTTGCCATGATTACGAGTACGAGTACTTTGCCATGGGTACAAAAACTAGTACAAGGCAAGTTTTCAATCAGTACGAGTACGAGTACTTTATCACGAGTATGAGCATGAGTACGAGTAAAAGTACCAAAACAAGTATAAGTACTTTGTCATGACTACGACTACGAGTACGAGTATAGGTAATTTTTGCTTGCGAGTACGAGTAGGCCTACGAGAACACTTTCATGAGTAAGAGAACGGATACACGAGTACCCAAAACAAGTATAAGTACTTTGTCATGAGTACGACTACGAGTACGAGTATAGGTAATTTTTGCTTGCGAGTACGAGTAGGCCTACGAGAACACTTTCATGAGTAAGAGAACGGATACACGAGTACCCAAAACAAGTATAAGTACTTTGTCATGAGTATGAGTACGAGTACAGTTAATGTTTTTCGTACGAGCACGACTGCGAGTACACTTTCATGAGTACGAGTATGAATACGGGTACGAGTACGAGTAGGCCTACCGAAACAAGTATGAGTACTTTGTCATGAGTACGAGTACGAGTACAGTTAATGTTTTTCGTACGAGCACGACTGCGAGTACACTTTCATGGGTACGAGTATGAGTACGGGTACGAGTACGAGTAGGCCTACCGAAACAAGTATGAGTACTTTGTCATGAGTACAGGTACGAGTACTCGAGTACGAGTAGGCCTACCGAAGCAAGTATGAGTACTTTGTCATGAGTACGAGTACGAGTACAGGTAATGCTTTTCTTACGAGTACGAGCACGACTACTCGTATACTTTTATGAGTACGAGTACGAGTACCAAAACAATGTACTGGATTACGAGTACCAGTACGAGACGAGTACGAGTACTACATGGTAGTTCTTTCTGCTGATAACCACTAGCGCTTGTTAATAATAAAGAAACACATGCAACAGCGGGCGGTATGTTCTGTAATGGGAGTGGGTGTGAGACGTCCCTTTGGTTTCGCTTTCATAAGTGGATAAAAAAAAAATTCAAATAAAAACCCGTATAAAGAATAGCGCAAAACCGATTGAGGAAACAAAATAGGAGATTACCTAAAAGGTAATCGCACTTAAGTGCAACTGACCTGCTAAAGATAATGGAATAATGAAAGAAATCGGAATAAAAGTCATTTTAGAAATTGATTTTGATTTTGATTTGTCCATTAACAGCACTAATGATAAACGGTTCTTCCAAAAATGCTTCACACGATTCCCCAGGGCCACTCGGTATACATTCTATGTCGTCTGTTTTTCCATGCACCATGCTTCAATTAATTAATTGGATAGGCTGTCCCGACCGCACGATTCCCCAGCGATTACTAAATCAATTAATCCGCTTTTTGCGAGACTGATGTGCCCGCCCTATAGTGACTGCATTTGCTGAAATAACAGGCTGAACTAATTCTCTGCAGTGTGCAAATCTTTGAGCCTACGACCTTCGTCCGTTAATTGCGGACGGGTGATATGCGCAAGGCAATATATTTATGTGATTTTTTACACAAAATGAAGGATATTAGTAGAAAATGGTTTAAACAGATGGTCCAAAAGTGCAACCCGCGCCCATTCTACAGAATTTGATGTCAAGGATAATATTCCATAGCATAACCTTTTCCAATGTTACTTTGACAAATTGGTATTGGCGACACTGTGACTCCATCCGGTCATTAAACAAACCGCATTTTCCCCAGAAACTATCAATATTAGGCGCGACAATCGTAAAAAAGTGCTCCTAACTTCAAATATTATGTCAGTTAATTTGAATGTTTTTGCTTACAGTATAAACGACCGTTTTCGCGCCTATTGTGTGCATAAGTCTACAAATGTAATGTAATGTGTCTCCTCCCTAGCCCGTACGGAGTTGGACCTCTATGCAAATATTTTATCAAATGATGCGATTAGGATGGGTAAACCAGCAGGCTGTGGGACGCTGGGGAAATTCGAAGGGTCTTTGGGTCGCTGCGAGACGGCAGACGCGGCGCCGTTTGCGCTCGCTGTCGCCACTTGGGCAATTTTGGCCTGTTTAATCTCCTAAATGCAAATATTGTCCTTATTGGCAGGCTACAAGTGTGCAGTAGGTGTTTTAGGAAAACTGTCTCACTTTCTAGAGATTTTGGCAAGTGGACAATCACACCATCCGTCGCTATGGTCCGAAGACTGATTAGCATAATATCAGAAAAAAAATCCAAAATGTCAGGCGAGCTTCATGTCATGTTTTTCAGGCCCAGTGCACCTTGTCAGATTTGACTCGAGATCCGGATTCCTGACACTTTTTAGGGGCCAACTGTCCATTTGTGGGTCACATATGACACCCATGCCGTAAAACATTCTTTAAAGAGGACACCCGAGTACAGAGCATATATTCGGGTATTTGCCCGAGTCCGTACCAGGATTTCAACCCAATGCACAAATGTAGTTTCTTACACGTCCGCAGAAGGCAAACACTTTACGGCTGGAAGTCAACTACCATGAACAGCCCGATTTTGGGGGGTCGCAAAAGTGGACCCCGAAATTCGTTCTCGCACAAGAATAACACAAAAATGCCCAGTTTTTTAAAGGATAGTTGTGTGTATGTTTATATATCACTTTTAAAAGTTCTTACCGATTAACATAATTTCGTTCAAAACGCATTTTGTAGCCCAATTGGGCGTATTTCGGACGTAGTGTCCCTTTAAAGGGAAAATCACCTCATATTTGTCAAGGTTTCGTTGTCAATATGACCCCGGAAAATGAGTCAGGGAAAATGAGTCAGAGAAAATGAAACTTTGATCCGGAAAATAGTGTCAGGCCGAGTAGACCATTATCATGTTGCGGCCATCGCGATTTTTCGATTTTTTTCCCATTCAAATCAACGTATAAACCAAAGCGAGGCTGGAAGGGATAATAGTCTGGTTCCTGTTTGCACAAAAACTTCATCATTCAGTACTGTTATTGGGTATAGGGAACAAAACTGAAATGGTGGCAGTATGGTAAAGGTCTATAGAGCGCGGAATGCGAGCCTGAGTGTAGTCTTCAATGTGAACCAAGGATCTGCACTATGTTTGGTGTCAGATTAACCATCATGAGGTATTTACTAAAAAGATATAAAAAACAAAATCAGTGACTTACTTGCATCATGTAGAAGACAAACTTGCACATGAACTGCCCGAAGAGCCAGCTCGTGGTGGCGTACAGCGAGGCCGTGAAAGGGGCGCAGAATACCAGGTAGAAGATATCCGTAATGGCCAGGTTCACGATGTAGTAGTTGGTAACCGTCTTGAGGTGGCCCTGGCACACGATGACGTAGACCACGATGGAGTTACCAACCAAACCAACCAGCGTTATCACGCCGATGATGAAGGGCACCAGTTTGGAGTAGACCTCGTGGGATATTCCCGGTCCCGCCTCCTCCAGATCCGCCGCTGGTGTAGTGGTTACATTTCGGATGACGTCAGCGACTAATTCGGCATACCCCATTTTGATTGGTTGAAGGTGACAGCAATTATGCAAGCAACAATCACACACCACAGAGCAGTTCAAATGCTGCAGAGAAAATATAGTGGTAACAATTAAAAAATGTGTTTGTAGCGAAAACCCATCCCCGATTTTGGGAAATAAACAAATGGTATCCGATAATTTTGACAGACCAACAATGCAACACCAACTTTATCGTGCCTTTCACCGGTTAAAAGTGATAATAATGAATGACCAAATGGGAGAAAGAGAAACGCTTGGTGGCGCTATTTTTCAATCAACGATACAGCGTCTTTGAGAAATTCAGATCCCGTACTCAGTCCAAACTTGCCGTTCGTTGAGAAAGAGAAAATCATCCTTTGCGTCCTCTAGGTCAACAAGTCTTGTCGTATCTCGCAGTCAAGTCTCGTGCGATCTCGAGGTCAAGTGGCAGTCGAGGCCCTTCCGTGATTTGCGTTACTAATCCACTTGACCCCGTGTCCATTGAAATCGATATGCGTACCGAATGTCCGTATTTTACCGCATTTCAGGTAGGCGACGGTGTTTGCGTGTAGGGGTAGATAACTCTCATGACAAAACGGGCGTAAGGAGCTGATGCATCGCACGTGCGTATAGCCAGCAGCACGCGGGAAAGGTACTATGAACGTCACAGGCCAAATCTCCAACAATTTAGGAAAACAAACTCGCGCATGTTCAGCTTCTACTTTATGTGGAGCAAAAAGGAAATAATGAAGTGACGTATGCTCCCCTGACTGCCGATAGGGCCTTTCAACACATTAACTGATAGGTTCAGTCATTTTGTTTTTCTACCGATTGCTCGAGTGAAAACAAACATAAACAACCCTTCCGGGTTGAAATGTTTAAGACGAACAGGGCACACAGCTCGAAACGTCGGGTTAACCACTGTTTCTGATTACACACAACTCACACTTTTGCTTCACCTTTGTTTATGAGAGAAAAATAAGGAATTGCGTATTGTTTATCTTATTTGAATGTTAAGTAGTCATCCGTGTGACATTTGTGTCTTTGCACCATTGCCTTAATTTACAGAAATGAAAAAAACACGTCTCATCAAAACTACTGCACTCGTGGTTTTGTGTTAAAACTGGAGTTAATAAGCCAACAGTGGTCTCAATTCCAGGGGTAATACTAAACCATCTAATACAAGGCAAGGCACACCTCACTTCCCGTTGACTTCATTTCGTACAAAATACATAATTCAGGGGGGAAAGAGGTCTTGTACCCGACTAGTATTATTTTCACGTGATAAGCTTGTTTTCAGGATCACTGATATTGTTTGTATCAAAACGTTTCTATAAGTTGGCATCCAATTTCACACGTGAATACCTGATCCTATTGCAGAGAAAAACCCCGAATTGTACGCCTATCCGGGGTAGATTACGTTGCATTTTAACTTGACTGAGCAAGAATATCAATGGTTAGAAAACAAAACAAAACGAGACTCGCTTCAATCTGAGTGGATCAGCAGTCAGAGCCGCTTCTTAAAATGTAGATGGGAAATCCAAGAAAATGCGGGGTATACCGGTAATTCCATTTCATCACGAAACAGCGGTACTAGACAAGTATCACGCTACACCACAAGTATCCGATTTTGCAACTTCCACCGAATTGTAATTCGTTATTATGGTGCACGTCTATACGCTCGACAAACCGCTTGAGTTGACTTCTGACTAGTGTAAACACCAACCTTTGTTTTTGAATTATTTATAGTCGACCTCCGCCCCTCCTCTTGACTCTGTAGGATCTCGAGTACTCGAGTCAAGATGTTTTCGCTTGTTGGTTCTCTGTGAACCTCACAACCTCCGACAGCGGGGAAAAAATCTACGGTATTGAGATCGTTGAGAGTAAAGTCAGCGTCGTGAAAACTCACATTCGTCCTACAGGGTGAGTCAAAAAGAAAGTAACCTGGATTCATGATTTTTTTTTTCTTAAAAGCAATCAAAATTGATACACCAATGAAGTATGTCCTAAAAGAGCATGTTCTTCCATTCATCTGGAAAAAAAAGGATTTGCTGAAATTGATTCATGCTAAGTTTTACGTGTTTTACTAAACGAATCAATTTCTTTTACAGCTGTCAATGCAATGTTATTGGAAACTATTGAGCTGAATGAGAATTACAGATTACACGGGCATTCAAATACAAATGAGATATTAATCAGTTGAGTCAAGACTGAAACTTTTTTTTATAGTCAGATTTTGTGTTTTGAATAATAAGGAACAAGTCAACTTTATTTCAGGAAAAATATTAATGGCGATTTGTGTCTGTTTTCCTTTGCAAGTTTTCGTCCCTTCATGGAGGTGGGAAAACGTCTAAGTTTTATTGTATTAAACGGATATTCATCAGTTCATAGAATTGAAAATGATCAGTGGTGGACAGCTGAATGTTATAGTCTCTTTATCAAAATAGACATAACTTTGGAATAGAGTAGGCGACTTACGTGACATTTTCACAGTTACTAGTCAATAACATGTTCTTTATCCCTGTGTTATATTTATGAAATGGAGCGAGCCACATATTTTTTTAAATTTTTTTTTTATAATTTGGTCACTTTCTTTTTGACTCACCCTGTATACTGCTGGTGGCTGCAGATAGCTGTACTGTATTAAACAACGTTGGACGTTTCTGGGAAATATGAGTTTCACTGCCTGTCTCATGTTTCCAATATCGCCAAACATTACACTTGTCCTTTTCAAACTGTTTATCAATAAGACCCGTGCATTGTCCGTTTCAAGCAAGCAATACTGCCAATCGTTCTATGGTAAAAAAAAAATAAAAAAAAAAGCTGTAACCAGGCATATTGATATCCCTTTTTAAACTAAATTCAGTCCGTCTGACATCCTGTAACGGCACCCGTTCCATTTTCCCCGGCCTAGTTTTTTTTCTTTGGCTCCCGTCTCCAGTTTTCAATAACCACCTTGCCTTCCCGCTGTACCGAGTCCAACCCGCGCGAAAGTGCATTCTTGTGGGCATAGAGCGTTTCCAGGATTGTATGTAGGGGTTTCCACAAGCGCGTAGGAAGTCAATTGATCCAAACAACATGAATATAGTCGTCGCAAGCCACGCAGGGAGAAAGTGCAGAAAGTGCACGCGCTCCCTCGACTCTCAATCTCGCGTTCAGTTATCGTGTTCCCGAGATTGTCCTAAATTTGAATTGTCCACAAGGGCATCCGAAAAAAAGTTCTATTATGCGCACCAGGCCCTTGAGGGGGCTATTTAGGGACACAACGGGTGACATTTCGCTGGTATGCATGTCATTTACATTTGTTTGCATGATGGTTGCCTTGGAATAATTGTAGCCCCAAGCTCGGGCTTCGCATGTGCACATTGTTTGGCCGACTGCTCAATTGGCAGCCATATTTGAAGAGCGGTTGAGGGTGAAACTGCGAAGTGTCCCTTTTTTTAAACGTGACGGGGAAAGGGAAGGGATTACACTTCAACTTGTCCTCGGCGAATGGACCCTTCCTGGTCCTGCCCTTCCCCCCTCCCCGCTCGCCCCCCCCCCCCCCCCCCCTAAAAAAGTGGTATATGAAAGAATCCACATTGCGGCTGCGCACAGTTAGTCATGATGTGAGTTGTAAACTTGTAAATGTCGTGAGTTGGTAATATATTTCCCGCGTTTTTCCAACTGTTGTAGAAAATTCTAAGCATTTATCTCTAACCATGCAGGATCAGTTGAATGATTAAGGTGCCCATAAATAAAAGACTTCCTATTTACAATATGGAAGATGTAACATGACGCAGATATATTTCTAGCTGCAAATTCTAGTCATCCATCTGGCGGGTTTCGTGTCCTTTTTTTTTACCCCTGTGGGGAAATGGTAAACGTAAGACGCATTGTGAGTGGCTCTTACGTCATTCCGCAATTCACCTGTCGCGTGGACAGCTAAATTGCGCCTCGTGGCGATCACCACTTTTCGTATCTACTCATCAACACATTGTCCATATACAGGGTGGTCCAAACAGAAGAAAACCTACTTTTGACAGCACTTTTCACCTACTTGCTGAGCATATTTCAAAAATTATATTTAATGGTATTGAAATATTGATCTTAAAACATAAGTGACGAAAGAAAATGATTGCAAATGCCTATTTTGTCTCACTACATTATAAAAAAAACAGTTGAAATAAGTTAAGTATTAGGTTAAATTCCTGTCAAAAGTGGGTTTCCTTCTTTTTGCACCACCCTGTATTTGCCAAGTTCTTAGACGTATGTGAACATTTTCTTTTTGTGCATTTCTTCGTTTGAAACGACGAAATTGCTCAAAAATCTTAAGAAGGGTGCATACCAACTAACCTGTTGAAGATTCAGCTCAATGGATACTATTCATTTTAAACGTGTCCCAAATAAACGTGTCCTAACTAGTCTTAAATTTAAGTACACCGGCACAGCTGCGTTCTGCCCCACTTGCGCAGTACGTGCGACGCGCGCCAAACTCCACATAAAGAGTTGTTTACCATTTGTCGCGAGATGGACATACCATATAGCTAGAGGGGTGTTTCGAAAAAAACATGAAGTGAACTTATTGATCAAAATCGTTGGAAATTTATAACTTTTTATTTGTTTTGACTTTTGGACCGAAAAGTTTAGATTTTTCACCTGACAAGGTTTATGAATGGAAATAGATACATAAGACAGTTCGGCTCGGGCAATTATCAGCATCCAGGCTCCAACCTGTCTTAAACATAGTGTTTTAAACAAGCCAAGCACACATTTATTCCCTTCTTCAAGTGAGGATTTTTTTTGAACCGGTATACGTTTGCAGGTATTTGCAAATGTCCAAACGTGACTTTAAGTATGTGTTCATATGTGTAGATAAAACAGCGAGGCTACATTACAGTTTTCTACCGACATTGACCATTAAAACATTGAAACCTTTAAACCGAACATTTGGACAGTCTCGGCCCGAACGGTTCGCCCGTTAAGTACGAACGTTCCATCAATCACGCGCCCCCGATTGTCATGACATTTGAGAACTGCAACATCGAACACTCATCTCTCCAACGAACCATATGACATGTGTTTGTAACGGGTGTGAAACACGCCG